GAAGCAGGTAGAAATAGGACTCGGCCTTCCCCATGCTGCATTTGCTTCTTTCACAATGACACAGAACTTTGAAGTGTTTTCTCTGCTGTTCCTGTCTCTGTTTGTTGATGGAATGAGATGGAGTAATACTCTATTTCATTTTAGTCCTTAATTGTTCTTATTCTTAGAAAAAGCATGGAAGTACCCACTTTTGTTAATGTTATCATTGTTTACTAAGTATTTGAATATCATGTAAAAAGTAGTGTTTAACTTTGTAGCTAAATATGTTTTGCTTTTGAGTGAAAATGTTGTCTGAAAGATGGAATTATAGATTTTCTTCCTAAAAATTAAATATACATGAAACCAAGTCTTGCATATAATTAACATGCACACATTTTTTATTTGTGCTGAGGAGTTGATGTCAACACATAGCAACACTGTGTATCAAAAAAATGAAACACTGCATTATCCTCACAGACCAGTCTCTAGATTTCTAAGCCTGTCATTGCAGCCATTGTGTCTGTTTTCCTTGAGGGCCATGTTTTGGGTTTTTTTGTACCCCTTCTGATGTTTACAAAGGATTTTCTCTGGCAACCCACAGGCAGGCAGTTCAAATGCATAGGCTGCTTGGAGGGAGAAAGATGAGCATATCCCTCCTGTGTGATTTATAGCTCTGAAAACCTGCTGGAGGCTTAGCTATGTGACTTATCACTGCATAACAGATACTAAGGATGACTTCTTCTGCAGACACTGGACATGTTTTCTCCTGATAACATGTCCATAAAGTACGTGGGACAGAGATTTGCTTCATATGAGCATTTTGGCTGTAGGTCTTCCAAGAAAGAATTGTTGGACTTTTCTGACAGCCTTTGGCATATTCAGTTACATGCGTATATCCATACAGGGACTAGTCATTGACTATTGAGAGTCAGTGACTGAAGCCAATCCATGTACAGGAGAAACCCTGCTGTGGCTACCTGATGGCTTGATGTGTGTCAGTAGAATTGTACTCTCTAGGGGTTTCAGTGGCTGATTTGCCAGAAGTTTATAGCAGACCTTTTTTTCTGAAGTACTTCTGGATTAACCTGAACCTCTAAGTGTTTGGTTAGAAGCTGTCTCATTAACCATTTGCTTCCAAGAGATGCTGTGGATCTAGGACACTGATAAGTAGTTAACAGATTGTAATTGTTGTTGTGAGCCATCGAGTTGGAATCAACCCATAGCTGACCTTCTGTAGGTTTCTCCCGCAGAGCAGCTGGTGGACTCAAACCATGTGCCTTAGCACAATTGAGCACAGCTTGTTGCCACAAGGCCCGCTGAATGACTATTCTGTTTCGTTGTGAAAATTATGTGGTAGGAGAATTGTGGACTCTGGCCTCTACTAACTTCTCAAGGGAGAATAATTCCCATCAACAGTACAGAGACAGTTTCTGTGAGGTCAGACATGCCCTCTCATCTTCCTCACTTAATGCTTCTTACCCTCTTTTATTAATCTTGACACCAAACATCCCTTCCAAGTCACACTCTACTTCTCTACTTAGTTCATGATTTTAGTGTAGTGGCCACACAGAACTCCCAGAAAATACTAATCATTAAGGAACTTATTAAGGAAATAACTGACTCCAATTCAGATTCAGGAACACCCAGCCTACAGTTTTTCCAAAAGATGAGTTCTTCTCAGGTAGCTCTCTTTGACCTTTAGTCTTTGCAGAATTGGCCTCTGCCCTGTTAAAAAGTGTTAAAAAGCGTTAAAAAGCTTTTCTGTTATGTGACAATGCATAACTGAACCTCCAGTGAGTTTTCAAAGGCAGTAAATGACACAGGAGGAGATTGTCCTTTTTCTCACACAAAGCAGCTGGTGGATTTGAACTGCATCCCGTTGGATTGGCAGGGCAGCTCTTTACTAGTAGTTTCACCCCTACCAGTAAGTGTAGACCCCAAGGAACCTGACTCTGGCTCTGTGGTTTGACAGACCCAGCTCACCAAGCAGGGACTTCACCAGCCAAGCACTCAACTTTTTTGCTTTGTGGTCCTGAGTCTATAGCTCTGTCTTGCACCACTGCCTGTGTCTCTGCCATTTCTGGTGACATTCCCACTTCTCTGTGTCTGGTTAAAAGAAATCATAGGTCCAGAGGATGTGCTGTGCTCTCTTGCTACTTTCTTCTTGATGGTAACAAGGTCCCTATTTTCTCATTCTTGAGTTTGTGTAATTTAACCCAGGCCAGGTGGCAAACTGACAGATGCCTACATTAGCATTCTTCTACATGCTTGTTTGCATGTTCCACTCACCAATACCATTTACCTTATTTACATGGTCTTTTTTACTATTACTTGAAATCTATCAGAGAACTGGACAGTGACTAAGGATGATAGAAGAAGAATCGATGCTTTTGAGTTGTGATGCTGGAAAAGAATATTGAACATACTGTGGACTGCCAAGAAAACAAGTTTAGCCTAGAGAGGATAAAACCAAGTTGTTCCCTGAAGGCAAGGATCTTTAAGCTTCATCTCACATACTTTGGGCAGGTTGCCAGGAGGAGCCAGTCCTTAGAGAAGGACACCATGTTTAAAAGGATGAAGGGTTAGAGCAGGAGAGGAAGACCCCAGATGAAATGGATTGACACAGTAATTGGGGTAATGGAGGAGGGTGTGTTGGAGACAGTTAGACTGGCTCAAAATCGGGTAGGGTTCATAACTGTTGTGCATAGGGTTGCTATGAGTCACAGGCAACTCAAATATATAATAGTATATATAATCTAACAATAATATAACATTATTAGCAAGGCACGTGGTCCCATTGCTGTTGTTGTGTAGTGTAGAGTTGGAACCACTCATCATTCACCCTCCAGCAGGTTTTCAGAGTCAGTAGATCACATAGCAGGAGATTGTCCATCCTTTTCCCACAGAGCAGCTGGTGGATTCAAACCACATACCTCAGGGTTGACAGGTCAATTTATGGCCCATAAACAAACCATAAGCAGACACCTCATACTTGTATAGTTCTTCCTAGTCAAGTAGTGAAAGTAATATAATGGCTTAGAAGAGCCACATCAAATAAGCCACCACACTGGATCCATAAGCAGAGAGCAGCTTAATCACTAAATAATAAAGGAGAGTTATAGATGGTAAAGCTCATGTCACTTCTTTTTCTAATGCTAAGGTTTAAAATGTATCTTTTTAAAGTAAATTCTCCTTCTACCAGCTGACAGCAATTTTTATCAGTAGTTGATTTAACTTTACAAACTTTCTGATGTGCAGCAATATTTTCTTTGTGTGAAACACTTAGAAATCTCTTCTTTAGAATCCATTAACAATAAAATTAGTGTTCTTTTAAAGGAAAAGACATCACCTCAAATCAGTATTGATTACCACAGGCACATTCACATTTTAAAACATGAATCTTAAATGTGGGAATCTGGAGGGTAGGTTTACAAAGGGGAGCATAAGGAAGGGAAAGCACAATTGTGGGTTTTGATCCTGAAATCTGATTGTGTGGCTGCTTGTCAGTCCTCTTAGGGAGGGCTTTTCTTCCTGTTTCTTCTCTTACATTCTAATATCCTGAGTTGACATGTTTCAGTAAACACACTTAGCCCTGGATGTGTTCACATCCATAGATGTTCATATCCCCCCAAAAAAGGGATCCAACAGAATGTGCAAATTATCAAACAGTATCAGTACCATATGCAAGTAAAATCTTGCTCAAGATTCTTTAAAAATGACTGAAGAGTATATTGATAGGAAATTCAGCCTGGGATTAGAAGGGGCCATGGCACAAGGAATATTGCTGATTTCAGATAGATCATGGCTGAAAGCAGATGATACCAGAAAGATGTTTATGGGTCTTTTTTGAGTATGCAAATTTATGTGACTGCTTCAAAACAAGTTATGGGTAACATTGAGAAGAATGGGAATCCCAGAACACTTACTCTGTGTTCATGGAAAACCTTCATACAACAAGAAGCAGTAGACCAAACAGAACAAAGCAACCCCACATGGTTTAAAATTAGAAAAGGTGTCAGTCAATGTTGGTTCCTTTCTCCATACCTTTTCAATCTTAATACTGAGAAAAACATTCAAGAAGCCTGACTATATGAAGAGAAATGTAACATGAAGATTGGAGGAAGATTCATCAGCCACCCGTCATACAGATAACACAACCTTGGCTGCAGAAAGTAAAGAGGACTTGTTTACTTTCAATTGCAGAACAATTTACAATTTACAAACAATTGCAGAACAATTGTTCTGCAACAATTGTTGCAGAAGGATGTTCCTTTAAAAACTAAAGTGTACTTAATGGAAGCCATGGTCTTTTCAATGACTCTAAAAGTTGGACAATGAATAAGGAGGACTGAAGAATCTGTGCCTTTGAATTGTGGTATTCAGAACTAAATATCCCATGGTTTGCCAAAAGAAAAAAAAGTCTGTATTGGTGGAAGTATAGCTAGGATTCACCTAAAAGGCAGTGCAGGTGAAACTTTGTCTCATGTACTTTGGACATGTTATCAAGAGGGGCCAGTCCTTAACAAATGACATCATGCTTGGAAAGGTGAAGGGTCATAAGAAGACCTTTGACAGGATGGATTGACAGAGTGACTGGAAAAATGGGCTGGTATCCAAGATGGTGAGGATGATGCAGGGTGAGGACTGGGTTCCCATCTGTTCATAGGGTTTCTCTGAGTTGTAGACCACTCGCTGCACTCAACAGCAACAAGATTTAAAGTAAGAATCTTTGCGTGCTGCAGCTGGTTAACACACACAGGGTGAGAGCCTTGAGTTCACCCAGTAACATTTCAGAGAAGAGGATTGGAGATCTATTTCCAAGAAATCAGCCGCTGAGAATCTTGTGGAACGTAATTCTTTAGCACAGAGGGGTCACCGTGATTCAGAATCCATTAGACAGCTAAAAGGTAAAAATGTATAATTTAGGGAATGTAAAATTCCTTTCTTAAAAGTTTGAACAAGTTAAATAAACTTGGGAAAGAAGTAAAAACATCTCGTTCTTACGGTTTCTGCCTTTGCAGATACTGGGCTAACTTGAAGTTGTGGTTCAAGCAGAAGATCAGCAAAGAAGAATTTGACCTTGAAGCTCATAGACTTCTCACACAAGATAATGGTAAGATGAGTACCCGGTTGGTTACCTTAGTACTTGGAAGTTTTCCCAAATTTACAAGAATTTAGTAAAATTCACTTGTAAAATACTGAAGTTCTGGCTTTGGGTGGTAAATGAAATCATATTAATAATGAGAATAATTTAAGGGTAAAGAATGGTAGGACGAGGGAGAGGGGCATCTATACCCTTACAAGCTAGACTAGTGGTTTCCTTGCATTGCAGATGTTTTATGTTTGATGTGTCATAATCTTCCCTTTTTCAGTCCATTCCCACAATGATTTCCTCCTGGCTATTCTTACGCGTTGCCAGATTTTGGTTTCTTCACCAGGTAAGGCTGTGGGCATATTTCCAGTGGATGTCAGTTGGCCAAGTCATGAAGAATTAGGCATTAAGTTTCCTTTGTCAGATAGATCTCTGCTTGCCAATGAAATGGTTTTTGAACTGGTTAGAATAAAAATGTTAGTATGGGAAGATAACATCCCTTAGAGAATTTTTAAAAGCAAGTGATTTGTTATACTTACTTTCAGTCTTCATTCCCAGGTCAGTTGGATTTTAATTACTTTAAGAAATGAGAAAAATGAGAGATCAGGACAGAAAGTTGAAGGAAAAAGAAGAGGGGGAATTGGTGTTAAGAGAAAGTTCAGGAGATAGCCAGCATGTGCTACCAGAACTTTCACTTGATTTCTTAAGAAAGATATTAGCACCTGCAGAATTAGAGTTTCATGCTATTGATGGCCAGGTATACAACACACTGTTTATCATATTACTTGTAAAAAAGAAAGGCTAGAAGATAGCATCATTGGAAGGTAGATGACAGCTCACTCTGTCATTTGAACCCAAATATTGAAACATTGGCCCTTTACCTTTGTGTAGTTTGGGGCTTAAGTTAAACTGGCTTATTTTGTGTTGTAGTTAAGTGCCATCGAGTCATGGGCGACCCATAGTGACCCTATGAACTAAAGTCCCCGACATTTGGGTGCGTGACTTTCATCCTTTCTCCAGGTACATAGGGTTTCCGGAGGCAAGCTATTAAGGAAGTGGATACCATTCCTCCTTCCAGCCTTGTTTTAACCAGGGAGCTCCACCAAACACTGTCCACTGTGGGTAACCGTTACCGCATTTGACACATCAGTGTCACAGTGTTTAGCTTCACAGCAACCACAAGTTACCTCTGTACAGCAAATGGACACACCAGGGCTATACGACCTAGAAGGCTGTTTGAACAAAAACAATGAAAAACAGGCATTAGGGCCGCGGATTAGAATCACCCACCTTTGGCTTGGTAGCATCACTTTTGGTCCACTAGGCCAACTGGTCTCTCTCTGTATTGTTAAGTGCCATTGAGTCGTAGGTGACTCATAGCAACCCTGTGAATGAAAGTCCTCGGCACTTGCGTGCGTGACTTTCATCCTTTCTCCAGGTTCATAGGGTTTCTGGAGGCAAGCTATTTATGGAAGTGGATGCCACTCCTGCTTCCAAGCTTATCCACCATGGCATACTTTAGACAATAAATAATATTAAATACTTACCTTTATAAGATTAATTCTGGATTCTTTTTAAGGACTTAGATTCATAGATCTGTCCTGCTATAGCAAAAGGGGACTGGTTTTGTTTTGTTTTAAAAACTATGGTTGACTCTTAAGCTCATTTATTGAAAGCCCCTGGTTTACTTGGAAAATGGCTGAGAATTTGTATTATAATCCTTCTCTCTAACCTCTACTCCATCTTAAAGAATTGCTCGTAATACATCATTCTTCCATCCTCAAAGATGAGTCCTTGTAAAAAGGATTTGTTTATAGATGTAGGTGCTGAAGAGTAGAGGCTGCTTCTTGGAAGCTTTGGTAGCCTAGTGGGTAAGTGCAAACTCAAAGGCATGCAGTTGAAATCCACCATCTGCTCCATGAGAGGAAGATGGGCAGTCTCCTGCCACTGCCTCTGAAAACCCACTTTAGGGTCAGCTATTGGTCTGTTCCTACTCGATGGTACATAACAATAAACATGTCTAGAGTTAGATCATAAGGAGGATCCACTGTAGGATATGACATTTAATAGGATCAGAAAAGCCAGCATTTTGAGAATTTGGACTTTTTTAGGTGTCTGTATTTTAATGTGCCACAAACCTGAAGGATTAGTAATCAAAAGAAGAATCCCAGTTGAAAGAACTAGGTTCACATTTGTGTTTTATCTACTAGCTTAGATAATACAATTCACTAATTGGTGGTAGAGGGACAAGAGTCTTTCTTAGCTTTTATATACATAAAATAAGAAAACTAATACCTGTTCTGTATAGTTATAAAAGTAGAAATGAAAAAACATATAAAAAAATTGAAAGTAAGAAATGATGAACACATGTTAATGTTAAGTTACTGAGTCTTATTAAGTAGAGGACTTTGTTATTTTTGAATGTGTTTCTGGTTATTTAAAACTATGTGAAGAAACATCCCACTAGGAATTTGAGAGGTTATTTTGTCCATTAGCAACTAAAATATATCTCCTCAAGATGAAATTAGTGTTTCCTAGCAACAAAGAGATAACTTTCTACTACAAGTGAAATATATATGTCTTTGTGATTATAATATAATTATGGGTAGATTATTTTCTATTTTTCTGAGCTACACTGGAAAGACAATTTTAGTAATAAAATTTACTAAAATTTACTGCAATATGCTAAACATTTTACATGCATTATTGTTAATTCTCCCAGCAATGTTGCAGAATGCTTTTATGTATAAAAAATAAATAAGGAAACAAAATAAAACTTGCCTGATGCTGGGGCTAGCTAAGTGGGAGTACCTGGTTAGTCCTTATTGGCCTCAGTGCTTCACCCAAGTAACGCTGGCTGGCTCCGTCGCTGTGATTTTGAAGGTCTGGTTTTATGTCACCCTCAGCTGTTTCTCTTCGTAACTTAATTTTCAATTCCATTTATCAGCCTAGATTTCTCTGGGACATCATCCAAGATTGACTGATGACATTGTCAAGTGAGATCTGGTGTGTTAAAGACATCTCAAGTGCTAGAGACTTTGCAATACTTCTTTTAATTGAGGAACTTAGAATATATATGTTTCCCAGATAAGGACTTCAAAACCAGTTGAGCCTGTTTCAATCATGGCTAAGGAAGAGAAACCCTAATTGACCTGAATTTTTAATGTAGATGAACTGGAATGCTAACAGAATTTTTATTGCTCTCCACAGCTTTTCTGTTAGTACATTCTTTGATTCAACTCCCCACCCCCCACCCCAAACCATCTTGTTTTATCCACAGATCTTTCTGAGGACACCAGCTAGAAGTCTTTCCAAGTTCTCTTTGGTTCTGAGAATGCTCCTTTTTTCCAAGGACTTCTGTATTCTGTTTGTTTATCTTGGTCTTTTCTTATCCTCAAATTTATGATGATTCACATTAAGAATGAAGCATAAAAAACCTGCTTGGAGGCTTTTGCTTTAGGGTAAGCTGAGAGCTAAACTGCTGTTATGTGCCTTTGATTAAAGTGGCTCAGAGGATCGGGTGGACAGCAGATCACAGAACTTTATCCTGCACCATCCTCACTCTCTCAGTCAAGCACATCGTTTTAGTCACTATATCAATCCATTTTGTTGCAGGTCATTTCCTCTTCCTCTGACCCTTCACATGGTGTATTTTCCCCAAGGACTGGCCCCTCTTGACAATGACCTGAAAATGTGGGATGCCCATCTCATGTATTAAAGACCCATCCTTGCCTCTAAGGGTTTTTTCCCTAGTTTCATTTCCTCTAAGACAGACTTGTTTGTTCTCTTGGCATTCCTTGGGATTTGGTAGTCTTCTGCAATACAACAATTCAGAGTCATTAGTTCTCCTTTCATCTTGTGCATATGAAGCAATTGCACATTGCTTGGATTTTCTTGGATCCTTTCTTGGATCAGGCACATTTTTAAACTGACATCCCTTCTCTTTAGGACTTTGACAGCAGTTTTTCCCAGTGCAGTTTGTGTTTTTACTTGTCTGCCACTTGTGTGGTATTGAATATGGAGTTAAGTAAGAGGAAATTCTTGACAATTTCAGTTTTTTCTCTAGTTTATGATGTTGCTTCTTGGTCTGTGAAGATTTTTGTTTACTTGATATTGAGGTATAACCCATATTGAAGACTGTAGTTGGGTGAGTGCTTCAAATCCTCTTCTCTATTCACAAGCAAGATTGTGTTAGGCACCTAATGCAGGAATCCAAACACCTGGTAAGTATAATACTTGTCTTCCTAAAAAAAATACTTTGGTTACAGCTGGGGAACACATGTGATTTGAGAGAATTTGTAATTTTTTTTTTTTAAGTAGAAAAGTAGGGGATTTTAGTTTAAGCATTATTAATTAATTGATCACTGTTAAATTTCTGTTTCATAGAGGGTGCTGGATCTTTACCCTGGCCAGGGAGTTCTGCAGCCAAACCTGGAAAACCCAAGGGGAAGAAAAAGCTTTCTTCAGTTCGACAGAAATTTGATGTAGGTTATTTGCTGTTAGATCTCAGTAATGAATAACGTGTAGTATGTCTTAAGTTTAGCTTTGAAAGGAATCTTAAAAATAGTGTTGGGCAAAGTATGATTTTAAGAGAAGTGACATTAATATAATTGAAATAGATAAAGTGTCAAAGATTTTGAGTCCCAGCTATGTGCATTTTTATAATTTTAGTTTGTTACTTCTTCAGTACTAACATGTTTTCGTTAATATCCATTGATTTCCCAATGATTCAAAAGCCATGCTGTTGTTGTTCTCTTAAACAGTCTCAGATTAAATAACTGTGCTCTGTGGGTCTGGGAGGCCTGGAGGCTGCCAGTAGGACCCTCACAGCCTTTCAATGGGCCTGGGCTGTCGGGACAGCAGGGATGGCACAAAAACATTTAGCTAGAACGTGTGTGTGTGTGTGTGTGTGTGTACACCGTCAAATTGGATCTGACTGGTACAGGAGGAGATTGCCCTTCCTTCTCTAGCAGAGTGTCTAGCAGATTCGAACCTCATACCTCTGGGATTGCAGTGCAGCTTTTTGCCACTAGGCCACCAGAACTCCCTTAGCTAGAACATTTTAAAACATTTTAGAATGACTTGCTTTTTAAATATGTATTGTCTGACATGCTTTGGGCATGTTGCAAGGAGGGACCAGTCCTTGGAAAGGGACATCGTGCTTGATACGGTGGAAGGATAGCACAAGAGAGGAAGACTCTGAATGAGATGGATTGATTCAGTGAGTAGGGTGATGAGCGTAGGTGTGTCAGAGACAGTAAAGTTGGCTCAGGATAGAGCAGGGTTCAGAGATTGTTGTACATAGGGTTGCTATGAGTCACAAGAAACTCAGAAGCACCTAACAACAACAGTAGAAGGAAAAGCATCCCTTGTATAGATTTCACTGATATTGTTTGCTTGTACTTTATCTTCTAAGCCGCAGTAATAATAATGCTGGAATGAATCATTGTTCCAAAGATACATTGGCTTCAAAGGGTATTTTCAATATCAGATACAAGTTCATTCCTGGAAAATGGAAAAACAATACTTTTCTTTTGTTTTTAAAATTTTATCTTATATTGGTTTGCTTACAAAGTTTGTGTATATTGTGTTTCACACGATCCTTCATTCTACAATTGTGGTTTGGTTTTGGTTTTTTTTTTTGGTTTGGTTTTTTTAACAGTACATTGAATAGAACCAGTAAGTTTGCTGTAACATCTTTGTTAGGGAAGTATCTTCTGTTGCTGATGAGGATTCTAGAACCTCCCAAAGTGAGGTCCAGGGTTTATAAATGACAAAATAATTAAGGGGAGAAAATAAATTAATCTTAGATAAATTCTGTGTTGAGAATTTAAAATAGGAAAAACCAGTAACTGAGATGTTATACTACCCAACATTATCGTGGAATATTTGTTGTATGGGTTAGTTGGGCATTTTAGTGCTTAATTAAAGCATTAACTATACATTTATATTTTCAGATCTTAAGATCTTATCCTCCTCTATAATATTTTAGCAAATATTCTTAATCACTAAGATATTGAATAAACCACTGTGCACATTACCATTCCTTCCCCTTGATTCAAGCCATCATTGTTAATATAATGGATATTTATGATTGTTTTTTCCACAATTTCTTTTTCTTTTGCCATGAATTTGTGGGATTTTTAATGCTATATATATATATATATATACACACACACACACACATATAAGTATTAGGAGGGAGCTCTGGTGGCCTAATGGCAAGAAACTACCCTGAAATTTCAAAGGCATGCTGTTTGAGGCCACCAGCTGCTCTGCAGGAGAAGGATGGTCAGTCTCGTCCCATGCGATTAACTGCCTCTAAAAACCAGCCAGAGGGTCAGCTATGAGTTGGTTCTGACTGGATGGTACACAACAACAACTATATATATATATATATTTGTATTAGTACTGAACTATATAATGATTAATTTTGAAACTTTGTGTCTGTGTCTATTTATTTTAACTTGTAGCATAGGTTTCAGCCACAGAATCCCCTTTCTGGAGCCCAGCAATTTGTAGCAAAAGATCCCCAAGATGATGATGACCTAAAACTCTGTTCCCACACAATGATGCTGCCCACTCGGGGTCAGCTGGAAGGGAGGATGATAGTAACTGCTTACGAGCACGGGCTGGACAATGTCACCGAGGAGGCCGTCTCAGCCGTTGTCTACGCTGTGGAGGTTAGTTTGCTGCTGTCAAAAATAAGTTTATAAATTGCTGTTCAGAGGTGATGACTGGAAAAAATGTGATTCAAGAGAATTTGTAAATTTATTTTTTAGACAAAACAGTAGAGGATTTAATTTAAGCATTGTTATTTAATTAATGGCTGTTAATTTTAGCCAAGAAAAGAACCGAAGTATTACTGTTTGAAATTGCCAATATTGGTGTTATTTTCAGAGGAAGAAGCACATAGTCCAAAGACTTGCCTTCAGTGAACAGACTAAACTCTTCGGGTAGGCTTGTTACAGCATAACACTTCTGTGTGATTTTATGTTTAATTTGTCAGCAGATGAATAATTTTTTTAAGGGTAAAAATGAGATTGAGAATAGTTAATTTGGTGTGTATAGTATTGGAAGAGCATCACATTTAGTATTTGAGTAGTAATATTCTTATCTCTGCACATTATTCATTTTCTTCATATATTTGACAAAATATACATTGGGACATATAATATGTACCTTGGATACTTCTTCCCAATTCCCTGTGCCTCAGTTTCTTTGTACCTCAACAATAATAGCTTGTCTCAGAATGGTAAACATTAAATGACTTATGTATATGATAACACATCTTATGTTGAACCGTGCTATCTGTGTCAACAAAAAACAACTCACTCTTGGTATAATTGAAACCCCCTTCTTGGTCCTGCCTGCCTTGTAATGGTGGTAGTCTTGGACAAATCCTGCCTCTCCATTTCCATACAGTCACCTCTCTATTTCCTTCTTTTTTTTTTTTTAATTTGGGCTGTTTATTTTCTTAGGTACTTGTCTCTTACAAAGATAATGAAAAATTAAATACTTTTTTCTTATTTCATCATATATATAGTTTTTGGAAAAATTAGAGTGATTCTAGGGAATATCTGTACACTGTTGTCATTCCAGGGGTTTTAGTAGTTTGGGTATTCTGAGTCAATAAATACCAGACCTGGGAACTTTTTGTTCTGTTTGAAACCAAATTTGAAGGTTGTTTGTCGTGTGTGTGTGTATGTGTGTATGTGTGTGTATATGTGTGTGTGTGTGTGTAATTTTATTTCTACCCTATTTAAAAGGAGCTCTGGTGGCAAAAAGCTGTGCTGCAGTCCCCACAGCACAATTTGAGGCCACCAGCTGCTCCACGGGAGGATGGGCAGTCTCCTCCTGGGCAAATAACAGCCTCTGAAAACCTGCTGGAGGGTCAGCTATGGGTTGGTTCCTATCTAAACCCATCTGAAAATCCTTTTTGAGAGGAGCAAATTTAGAATGTAACATCACTTGTAATAAGTTTCATTAGAGCAGGTCCATCTTACCTAGAACTAAATAAAAACAAGCCTGTCTCCCTGTCCCCGCACCTCTGGTGTGGCCCTGAGACTCCATGATAAGCATTGATCTGGTTCTAGCGTGTGCTAGCCTGTCCCATAATACCTCCATCCACCAAGTGCCAGTTAACTTTTTAATGTCCCTACACCCGTTTTTGTACACACACTTCTGTGAGTAGCATTGATTGTGTTCTTTGACATGTGTGGCCACTTTCACCCTCCTTTGCAGATTGTGCCTTCCTCCTTAATACAGCTCATTGCCCCAAGGTTTCTGTCCAGTCCTTCAAGCTGCTGTTATCACAGCGATCTTGTACAGATAGTTCCTAAAAGAGCAATATACTTGCTGCAGACCTTTTTAATTTTTTACTAGTTAAACTTTTGTTTGGTCTAAGAAGACTTGGGGGTATTTTTGGTTTAAGTTGATTACTCTGTAATTTCAGAGTTGACGTACTTTTAAGTAGAAGTCCTTGCTAATTTTCTTCCTTGTTTTTACAGAATCATCTTAAAGATATTCTAACATCAGTTGTGTCAAGAAGGAAAGCTTACCGTTTACGGGATGGCCATTTTAAATATGCCTTTGGTAGTAATGTGACTCCACAGCCCTATCTCAAGAACAGTGTCATAGCTTACAACAATTTAATAGAAAGGTAATTGAAGTTTATAATCTTACTTCCATCATTTGCCAAATTAATTAAACCAACTTAGGTGGTAGACAACTGTTATATAATAAGTGTTTCTCTGAGTGCTTTGACAGCAGTATAGCTTAATTGTCTTATGTTCTATCCTTGCATGATATCTTGGAGAATTGTTTGGGTGTTTTTCATATCAGGAGTGAGGTCCATAGTTTGGCTGCTCCCTGTGGGTTGGCATAGAGTACCGCCCCTGAGCAGTGCATGCTGCTGGCTCCTTGAGACAGCACCTGTCAGGAGCTACTCTGCATGAAGCAAGGCCTGTGGGTGCTGGGTCAGGTCAGGTCTCTTGATGGTGGGTGTTTCTCTAGGTCCTTCTGACTTTGGCAGATCAGGATAGTAGCCTGTTCTGGATATCGTCAGCTTTTGGCATCCTGATGTGTTGATCTGGTCTCTTAGCTCTGTGGTCTTTGCTAGATTCCTGTTCCTCATCCTCCCGAAACCTCCCATTCCCTCCCTGGGCCCGCAGTTCACTCCCCTGATTTATGAGACAAAGTAGATTACTTTCATGTTGGTGTTGTCTGTTCTGACCCCTCCAGAAAAAAATTTAGCCTGAATGTTGAGCCTTTGGGAAGCAGGTGGGGCAAACCATCAGTACACTTTTCCTCACGATGAATGAAGCTTGTGTCTCTGGGTAGTTAAGGACAAAACATGTAAAGAGAAAAGTTGAGAGGGAAAGTATGATTGGGAAGTTTGGCAGGAGTAACAGTGGCGAAGAAATAACAGGAAGAGAACGACAGGCGCTGTGACAGAAAAGGAAATGGGGGAAGTGGGGAGCTGAGAAGAGGATCAGACCGAGCGGAGGGTTGACATCACACAGTGGGGGTGTGCCAGTGCCTGAAGCAGGACTTAAGATCTGTTCAAAATGGTTCATTACTATTGCAAACAAGGACTGCATATATGTTGCATAGCAACCAGATCTGCTGCTGGTGGTATTTTGACTCAAGTAAGAAAACAGACAGTTGTGCCCTGCCTGCACAGGCATGGCATACAACCACACTGCCCTTAGTGGGTCTTGTTCTTCAGAGCCCTGGCAATAATCCAGTCTCGCAAGTCAGTCTTCCTGAAATTTTTTGGGGAGGAACGAGAAGTGCCCCTTTTGAGAGAAGGTTTATTAGCAGGACTGTGGGGAGCAACACGAGCTGAGTGGTAATGTCGACGCCCATCACTGAGCCAAGCACAACTGTTTGCTTCCCCTAGTGAGTCAGAGTACCATAAGCAGCAGGTCTGCCTGCTGGCCATCACCAGTGTGGACCAGTGTGGACCAGTGTGAAGCCCTGCTCTGGAGGAAGACCTTCCGAGAGTCACGAGGCTTGTTCTGAAGGGCACTATCTTAAATTGGGTGAACCATTTAGATTATCATATATGAACATTTATGTAATCAGTCTCATTCAGGTGTGGGTTATCAATTGGGGATTATTTATTTTGTAAATTAATCTTCCTTAGGGGGAAAAAAACCAAATGAAAGTGACTCTATAACGTGTGACTATTGGGAGCAGTGTCTGTGGCCATAATGGGCTCCCAGTCCTCTCCTTCCTATTGGGTGGCCCCTGTTAGGGCTTTTCTAATAGGACTGCTTTTGTTTGTTGCTGAAAACTCATATTACTGTTCCATTCTTGCTTTCCTTCAAATTGCTTCTTTACTTACTTTTGTTTTATCTCCTTTTTTATATTCTTCAAATTAGATGTGTTGTCTCTTATTTTTTAGTGTTAAAAGACTCCTGACTTCTTACCTTGTATTGTATTCAAGTTCTCTTTTAGGAAGATTGATAGGATCTGGACTCATTTTCTTTATTCTCCCTTTTTGCCTGTTGCTTCTTTTGTTCTATATTTTGTTTTGTTGCTCTTTATTTCTGATCCTTCTGTCTTATGTACCATTTACGTTCTCCAGTGAGTTGTTTTCTATTTCATATTTCCTAATTCACGTCTATAAGGGTAGAAAATGAGTCTTATTTAATAGCCTGGTCCCTCGTGGTCCAGTAGTTAAAACGTTCAGTGGCTAACCAAAAAGTTAACTATTTAAAATCATCAGCCATTCTGTGAGAGAAAGCCAGGGTGCTCAGCTTCTGTAAAGATAATAACCTTGGAAATCCTGGAGACTACTTCTGCTCTGTTGCATGGGCTCATAAGGAGTCATAATCAACTCAAGGGTATTGGGTTCGGTCTTTGATTATCCTGAGATTAGTAAATAGCATCCTGGAGGAGGGAGGATAAATGCAGTTAAGACTGTATTTTATTTCCAGTCTCCAGATGAGCTGTCTTTAAAAACTAAAACAACTGGTTAAAGAAAACAACTAGCTCCCAGCTAGTTAGGGAGCTCTGGTGATAAGAAGCTGCACTATAATCCCAAAGGCACACAGTTTGAGTCCACCAGCTTTCCATAGGAGAAGGATGGGCAGTGTTCTGTGCTATTTACTGCCTTTGAAAATCTGATGGAGGTCAGCTTTGGGTCAGTTCTGACTCCACGGTATTTAACAACTTAAATAATAGTGAAATTTTTAATTCATTTTATGGCTTTTGTTCATTGGCTCCATCTTAGTTGCCCGGAATGTTCTTTTTCAGCCCTCCAGCCTTTTCTGTTCCCTGTGCTGGTCAGAACCCAGCTTCTCACCCTCCTCCTGATGATGCCGAGCAGCAGGCTGCACTCCTCCTGTCCTGCTCTGGGGACACACTGCCTGCATCTTTGCCTCCGGTGAACATGTACGACCTTTTTGAAGCCTTACAGGTAATTCTGGGCTATAGCTAGCCTATACAGTGAATTGTAACTTAAAAGGTTAATGGTTTGGTTTGAGTCCTCTAGTCACTCAGGAAAAAGAGTGGCAGTTCCTTTGAGTAAAGATACACAGCCTTAGAAATGGGATGAAAGGTCACCAGGAATCAGAACTGACTTTTGGGCAGTGTGTTTGGATTTTGGTTTCTGACTCCTTAACATCTACCTAGATCTATGCATGGGTTACAGCACTAATCAGGACTGCAGAGATGTGCACTACCTTTACTACTACTTGGATTTTTTTCTTTTCTTTAGTTTTTGTTGTTACTAAGGCCATTCTTATTAACCTTGTTATTCATATTTTCAGCCCAGCAGGCCTTTCTAGTGCACTCTGGACAACCTGTCTACTCTCCCCACCTCTATAGCCATTTCAGAGCCTGATGTCCTATTTTTCTTTATCTGATTTGAAGTTTTATTAGATTCTGACTTTTAGATGATGTTGTCTGTTGTAGTCATGCTTCATTGTACATGTTGAAAAGTACTACTAATGTCTAATTGGAGACATGTTAACTTCTAAATCACAGGTACACAGGGAAGTCATCCCCACACACACCGTGTATGCCCTCAACATTGAAAGGATCATCACAAAACTTTGGCATCCAAATCATGAGGAGCTGCAGCAAGACAAAGTTCACCGCCAGCGCCTGGCAGCCAAGGAGGGGCTTTTGCTCTGCTGAGTTGGCACTTGGGGGTGTGGGACCCTCAACAAATTGCTTGTTTATTTAGAATTGAATGTTGGGTCCACATTTCAAAACTGAAATGTATAATGTATATATAACCTTTCCTATGGAAATGGGACATGGAGTACTTTTTGTGTTGCTACTGTGAAGCCATTAACATAAACTTGATTTTTATTATGACCCATCTCTCTGTAGGTGTGTGTTGCACTTCAGAATGACAGCAGAGAACTGACAGTTCTGGAGATGGTTGGGCATCTGGAGCTTAGTATACAATGCTATGAGGGTTTAGGTAGATGACATCCTGAAAAAAGTATGTTTTTATTACATGGTCCTCTTTAGTCAGGACATACTATACTCAATATCTGGCAAGTCAAATTTCTGCCTGCTAAAGAACTGTGCTTTGGGATTTTTTTTTCTAAAATAACCTATATAGTGTTAAAAGCAAAGTCATTGCAGTAAATTAGTATAGTCCTTATCACCATAATCTTTGTAACTTGCACCAAATGAGTTGATGGGACTATGCAAATAAGGTGTGTGACTTACAAAAGGAATTTGAGAGCTTGTCAATAATATAAAGTGTTTGGTTTATAAAATAAAGTTTGTTGTTTTTGTTGGTATGTGCCATTGAATCGCTTGCAACTCATAATGCCCCATTGTACAACAGCTCTGAACCGTGCTCGATCTTGTGCCAACCTTATTGTCTCTGACACACCTATCTCCATTACCCTAGTCACTGAATCAGTTCATCTCATTAAAGATCTTCCTCTCTTGCACTGTCCCTCCACCTTCCCAAGTATGCACCCTAATGAAGGGATTGGTCAGCTTTGCCATCCCAGAGGCAGGAAAGGAGATCTTGTGACCACGAAGAAAGAAGAGCCAGGAGTGGAGCATGTCCTTTGAACCCAGGATCCCTGCACTGAGAACCTCCTTGACAAGAAGAAAGAGTTGCAGCAATGGAGATGGTGAGAGATAGGCAAGAACCAGCAGCAGAACCCCAAGACAGGCAAGAGATGGCTACGTGAGCTTCTCCCCCACAGAGGGAGAAGGTTGAGCGTTTTCAGGCAGGAGGCTTGCTAACAGAATGGCGTCTCCTAGGCACTTGTTGGTGGAGCTAAAGAACTTTATAACACTTGCTGGATTAAGACAGAGGTGGAAGCTGGCCCGACCAGAGGACTGTGCGGTTTTCTCATCCTGAATCATAACTTATTTCCCTAATCCCAAAATTTCTGAATTCTTCCTAACCATTATAACAAATTATTAAGGCAGAGTGCCTTGGAAGGAATGACTGGTGTCAGCATTGGTAAAAAGATTGGAAGATGGAGACATGTCTGACTTAAAAGTTTTGTAGCTTCTAATCAGGAGCACTTGGCTTGTGGAAGGCTGAAGTATGTAGCAGAGCCCTAACTCTCTAGTTTGCCACATAAGCTTAGGAACCATTTGAATTCTTCCCACCCATCAACCAACTGGCTTTGTTTTCAACAAAAGTATTATTTTAATCACTTTAAAGCACTATGCTAATAGGGGCTTGCAAGAAGAACCAAGAAATTTGCCAAGGTACATGATTCCCATGCACCCTAGTGACAACCAGAACCAGTCCTTTTAATTTGAAGTGGTGTGTGTAAAAGTGTTTGTAGAATACATGTGAATTTGAGTGTCTTATTCTTCTAGATCATCCTAATGGGAAGTGAACACTGTTTTGAATATACTGTCCCTATACTGAAGTAGCTTAGGTGGGAAACCTGAGCTCCACCTAAAGCCTTTCCAACCTGGAAATTTGCATTTGAAAATATATGCAGACTCACCCTACCGAGAGAGAACAGGATATTTGCATTTGAAGGAAAGACATGTAGTAAAAGGATGACTTTGGCTTTTTGAATTAAAAGCAAATGGTTTGCCACTGGATGCATCCAGGTAGGAAAGTTCATGCCCATCAGAAAGACCCTTTCCTGGACTGGAAGTTAAAGGGAACTGGCAAATAGGCTGGTTTTCTTATTTGTGACCATCTGGGTTCAGTCAAGAGGAAATTGTTAAAGTGAGGCAATGAAGAGATGATGTTCTCTTGGCACCCACTGACCTAGCCCACAAACGCCAGGGATGAAAAGAAGGGGTTGGTTTGTGGGGAGTGCAGAGAGGTGTGGAGATTTCGAAGTCTGGCTAGAATCCCTTTGATCTAACAGAACCTAAAAATAAACTGACCAGCACCAGATTGAAGAGAAAGGTGTCCAGCTACCGTAGATTGCTGTACTTTGACGGCTTACTTCAGAATGGAATTTGGATGCAGATTCTCAAATTTTCAACTGGAACTAAGTACTGGTTTGATATGGAAGGGCCATGAAACACTGGTGATCTAAGATGAGGGGACTACCCGTGAAGCTGCTGGCTTACAAGCTTGAGTGAGTGTGCTTAGTGTCAAAATGAGGGGGGCAAGGAGAACCCCCACTGAGTACTTGCCTTCTTTTCCTAATGGATCTGGGGAAGCAAGGGTGGAAGATGCTGATAGTATGTGGTTCAGCTGTGAGTGATGATTGTTAAGAGGGTAAATTATCATTGTAAAGCTGTATTTGTTAAGGAAACCTAACTGAAAGAGTAGAGCAAGAGGGAGGCACTGCTGAGCAGAAGCACAGAGGCCAAACCCAATGTCCCATAAAGATTTAGCTGTATTGCTATCTCCTGAGGGTCAGAGCAAGCTAAAGTTTAAAGGGTAAAGAGAGAACTTTGGGAGAATCTGACCGGGTCATATGGATACATGCAGGTGCAGCAGAACTGAATGGTGTCAGAGTAACTTCACCCAAAGGTCCTTTTGCCCTCCTTAGGGACTTATCATACTTGTCCATAAGGTGGGCAAACCAATAGGCAGTGGCATGATGAATGGAGAGGAGATTGAAACTGTCAACAGCTTCCTCTTTCTTGGATCCACAATTAACACCATTGATATGAGCAGTTAGGACATGAGACACATTGCACTTGGAAAATCTGCCATTAGGGAGGGGCCTTTACAAATTATTGAGGAGTAATGTCAGTTTGAGGAGTAGGTGTGTCTGATTCAGGCCATAGTCTTTCTGATTGCTAGCTATGCATACGAGACCTGGACAATGAATAAGGATGATAGAAAAAGAACTGATGCCTTTGAGCTGTGGTAAGAGCACTGAACATTCCATGGAAGGCCAAGAGAATGAAACGATTTGTCTTGGAGAGGGAGCAGCTGGCGTGGTCTTCAGAAGTGAGAATGCTGAGCCTTTGCCTCATATACGTTGGACATGTTGCTAGGAGGTGCTATTCCTTGGAGAGAGACATGATGTTGGGAAGGGTGGAGGGTTGGTGAAGGAGGGGAAGATCCTCCACTAGGTGGACTGGCGTGGTGACTGCTTCAGTGTATCAGGAAGTGGGAGGATGGTGCAGGAAAGGACTGGGTTCAGATCTTTTGTTCATAGGGTAGCTATGAGTTGTACTTGACTCAATGGCACCTAACAACAACAGGGACTAATTGCTAATGACTTTTTTTGGACTGCTGAAATGATTGTGAGGAGGAAGTTAATAATTCAAGTATAGAAGAATTAGGGGGTGTTCTTTGGTGCAGTGAATTACTTACTATGGCCCTTTTCCCTAGAGTCTTTGTACTGCTCACCATATGACTGGATGTTCTTGAGACTGTAGAGTCAACCATTGCAAAAATGACTCTCCAGAGGGTTTTCAGAGACATTAAATCGCACAGTAGGGATTGTCATCTTTCATGGAGCAGCCAGTGGATTTGAACTGCTTGCTTTCAGGTTGGCAGTGTAGTTTCTAAGCTTCTAATGACTGGATGATGTTGTTGAGTTGGAACCCACTCTTAGCTGACCCACCAGCAGATTTTTAGAGACAGTAAATTGAATGAAGACCATGACTTGGATCAGCCACACCTTAGTCTTTAGACTTACATCATTGCTCTTTAACACTCTGGGGAGGTCTCTGACAGTATACTTTCCCAGTGCAATTAGTCTTTTGATTTCCTGACTGCTGGTGCCAAGAGTGTTGATTGTGAAATTGTTAACCACCTCAATTTCTTCTCCATCTGTCTTGGTGTGGCCACTTGGCCAAGGGGTAAGTATCTTTGTCTTGATGTTGAGCTTTAATCTTTATTGCAGACTGCCTTCTACAGCAAATGTTTCAGGTTCTCTCCACTATTCAGCAAGCAAGGTTATGTCATCTGCATAAGGTTGTTGACGAGTCTTCCTCCAATCTTGATGCCATATTCCTCCTCATAAAGACCAGCCTCTCAGATGATCTGTCCCACATATAGATTGAAAAGCTATGGAGATAGGATGCATCTCTGATGCACTTCTTTCTTGATTTTGAACCATGCAGTGTTTCCTTCCTCTGTTCAGACATCTGCTTCCTGGTCCAGGTAAAGGTTTTGAATGAACACAACTAAGTGTTCTGGGGTTCCGATCCTTCTCAAGGTTAGCTACAATTTGTTGAGATCCACAGTTAAATGCCTTTGCATGGTCAATGAAACACAGATTCCTCTGGTACTCTTTGCTTTCTGCCCAGATCCATCTGACATTGACGATAATGTCTCTAGTCCTACAGCCTCTTCAAAACCCAGCTTGTATTTCTGATAGTTGATGTACTGTTCCAGTTGTTTTTGGATAACCTTCAGCAGGATTTTGTTTGCATGTGATATTACATTGTCCATTAATTTCCACATTATTGTGTCACTTTTTTTTAAATGAGAATAAATACGGATCTCTTCCAGTCAGTTGGCCACATAGTTGTCCTCCAGATATCTTGGCACAACATGGTGAGCACGTCCAAGGCAGCATCTGTTTGTTGAAATATATCATTTGGTATTCCATCAATTCCTGGGGCCTTAATTTTTTTCAATTCCTTCAGAGCAGCTTCAACTTCCTCCGTCAAGAGAGCTGGACAATAAGGATATTAGAAGAAGAATTGATGTCTTTGAGTTGTGGTGATAGAGAAGAGTATTTGAACATACCATGGACTGCCAAGAGAAGAAA